AATACGGGATAACATAATATTTCCAAATCAATTACGCAACTTAATAGTCGCTACGGGACGGACCAAGTCACAATCCCTACCGGTGCACGCCCACACTCTCATCACCTAGCATGTGCATCATCGCGTTTATCAAAAACAAGTCAAATACCGGGGTTTTGTACCCTGAGTTCCAGATTTACAGTGGTTACTTACCTCAAACCGATGAAAATACTACTCCGCGTCGCCTTTGCCCCTCGAATCGGCCTCCACTCGTGTCGAATCTATCCAAAATCAGAAAGAGGGTATCAAAATATGCTAAGGGAACGAAGCCCAAGCGAAAATAATCAATAAATGGCACAAATCCCGAAATTACCAAAACTTGACCCCCGGGCCCACGTCTCAAAATTCAGAAATTTTTACATCAATAGATTTCTTATCTCCCCACGAGTTCATTCATATCAAAAGTTCTCAAATCCGACCCCAAATGGTCATTCAAATCCCAAATCAAAAGTCTAATTTCTCAAGCCCTAGTTCTTCAAATTTTAGGCTTAGTTTTCATGATTTTCTAGGTGGAATTTGCATAATAATCGAGTTTTTAGTCCAAGAATCTTACCTCCAAACGTTTCCCCTTGAATCCCTCTTCAATCTCCTTCAAAAAGCTTTAAAAACGACCAACTATGGAGGAAAATAGACCCACATTCACGGACAAGACGACCTTTTAAACATTCTGCCCAGGCCTGAAAATCCTTCTTCGCGAACGCGGTCCAAGCCTCGCGTTCGCGAAGCACAAAAATTCCGTTGACCAAAATTCTTCTTCGCGAACGCAATACCCCATCGCGAACGCGATGCCTCAGCTTTACCAACCTACGCGAATGCGACCCAAACTCACGTGAACATGATGCCTACCAATCCAGCCCTTCGCGAACACGGGACTACCCTTCGCGAACATGAAGGCCAAACATGACGCCTCCCCTCCTGGCCCTTCGCGAACGCGAGGGTCCTCTTGCGAACGCGAAGACCAATAGACCTGCAACAGCTGAAACTATTTTTCTGCAATTTCTCTTAACTTAAAATGATCCGTTCAGCCCTCCGAAACTCACCCGAGGCCCCCGGGACTCCAACCAAAATTACCAACACTTCCTAAAACCTTATTCAAACTTGTTCCAATCATTAAAACACCTCAAACAACATCAAATCACCCAAAACACATCGGATACAAGCCTAAGTTTCTAAAATCTTCCAAATTCCGCTTTTGATCAAAAACCCAACCAAACCACGTTTGAATGACCTGAAATTTTGCACACACATCCCAAATGACCCAACGAAGCTACTAAAACTCTTGGAATTCCATTCCGACCCCTATATCAAAGTCTCGCCTATCAACCGAAAATCGCCAAAATATCAACTTCGCCAATTCAAGCCTAATTCTACTCCGAACCTCCAAAACCCATTCTAATCACACTCCTATGCCATAAATCACACCTCCCGAAGCTAACTAAACCATCGGAAATCACATCTGAACCCTCTAACACATAAGTCAATATCCGGTTGACTTTTCCAACTTAAACTTTCTTAAAAGAGACTAAGTGTCTCAAACCTTACCAAAACCATTCTGAATTCGATCCGACCAATCCGATACCACAAAACACGGATAACGAAGCATAAAGAAGTAGAACTAGAGAAAACAGAGCGGTAACTCATGAGACGATTTTCCGGGTTGTCACATCCTCCCCAACTTAAACAAACTTTCGTCCTCTAACGAGTCAAGAAACATACCTGAAGCCTCAAATAGGTGAGGATATCTGCTCCGCATCTCCCGCTCGGTCTCCTAGGTAGCCTCCTCCACGGGCCAACCTCTCCACTGCACTTTCACTGAAGTTATATCCTTTGACCTCAACTTTCGAACCTGACGACCCAAAATAGCCACTGGCTCCACATCATAAGTCAAGTCACCATCCAACTGAACCATGCTGAAATCCAGAACATGAGACGGATCCCCAATATATTTCTAGAGCATAGAAACATGAAATACCGGATGCACACTCGACAAGATGGGTGGCAAAGCAAGCTTAAAAGCCACCTCCCCAATCTTCCGAAGCACCTCAAAAGGCCTAATGAACCGAGGACTCAATTTCCCTTTCTTCCCAAATCTCATAACACCCTTCATGGGTGAAACCTTCAACAGAACATTCTCGCCTACCATGTAGGACACATCTCAAACATTTCTATCAACATAACTCTTTTGCCTCGATTGCGCTGTACGAAGCCTCTCCTAAATCACCTTCACCTTCTCCAAAGCATCCTGCACCAAATCAATCCCCAATAGCCTAGCCTCACCGGGCTCGAACCAACCAACTGGAGATCTACACCGCCTCCCATACAAAGCCTCATATGGAGCCATCTGAATACTCAACTGGTAGCTGTTGTTATAAGAAAATTGTGCAAGCGGTAGAAACTCATCCCATGATCCTCCGAAATCAATGACACAAGCACGCAACATGTCCTCCAATTCTGAATAGTGCGCTCGGACTGCCCGTCTGTCTGAGGATGAAAAGTCGTGTTCAACTCCACCTGAGTACCCAACTCTCTCTGCACGGCCTTCCAAAACTGCAAAGTAAACTGAGTACCCCTATCTGAAATGATGGAAACTGGTACACCATGCAAACGAACAATCTCCCTAATATAGATCCCTGCCAACCGCTCTGAAGAATAGGTAGTGCACACAGGAATGAAGTGCGCGGACTTGGTCAGCCGATCCACAATCACCCAAATAGCGTCGAACTTCTTCAAAGTTCGTGGAAGTCCAACAACAAAGTCCATAGTGATCCTCTCCCACTTTCACTCTAGAATATCCATCTGCTGAAGCAAACCACCCGGTCGCTGATGCTCATATTTCACCTGCTGACAATTGAGACACTGAGCCACAAATCCTATAATGTCTTTCTTCATTCTCCGCCACCAATAGTGCTGCCTCAAATACTGATACATCTTCGCGGCACCCGGATGAATGGAATACCGCGAGCTATGGGCCTCCTCCAGAATTAACTCCCGAAGCCCATCCACATTTGGCACACAAATCCGGTCATGCATCCTCAACACCCTATCATCACCAATGGTCACATCCCTGGAATCATCATGCTGAACTCTATTTTTAAGGACAAACAAATGCGGATCATCATACTGGCGCTCTCTGATGCGATCATATAAAGAAGACCGAGAAACAACGCAAGCCAATACTCAACTAGGCTCCGAAATATCTAATCTCACGAATCTATTGGCCAAGGCCTGAATATCAACTGCAAGAAGTCTCTCCCCAACTGAAATATATGCCAAACTCCCCATACTCACCGCCTTTCGGCTCAAAGCATTGGCCACTACATTGGCCTTCCCTGGAGATACAATATAATGGTATCATAATCCTTAAGCAACTCCAACCATTTTCGCTGCCTCAAATTAAGATCTTTTTGCTTGAACAAATGCTGAAGACTGCGATGATCAGTGAACACCTCACAAGATATGCCATACAAATAATGCCTCCAAATCTTCAATGCGTGAACTATGGCAGCCAACTCCAAATCATGAACGGGGTAGTTCTTCTCATGGGGCTTCAACTGACGAGAAGCATAGGCAATAACTCTACCCTCCTACATCAACACACAACCAATCCCAACTCTTGAGGCAATAACGGGGTAGCTTTAGTAGAGCACTACTAAAGCTACCAGATCCCCGAGGCCTCTTGGACTCCCTCTCCTCTTGCTCCTGCCGGCGAATCGACTCAATCTCACGGGCGATATCAACAACTTCCTCGAAGGTAGCACCTGTCACCCTCTCTCTAGTCATTAGAATCCGAAGCTGGTATGTGAGGCCATCAACAAACCTCCTGATCCTCTCTCAATTGGTGGGAACCAACCAAACTGCATGTCGGGCTAACTCAGAGAACCACATCTCATACTGCGTCATTGTCATCTACCCCTGATGAAGCTACTCAAACTGCCTGCGCAGTTCCTCTCAGCGCGACTGTGGTACATACTTCTCCAGGAAGAGAATAGAGAACTGCTGCCAAGTAAGGGGCGCTGCACCAACAAGTCTACGCCTCCCACCAAGTGAAGGCAGCCCTAGAAAACTGAAAGGTAGTAAATGCCACACCACTAGTCTCAAGAATCCCTGCTGTACGAAGCATCTGCTGGCACTTATCCAAGAAACCCTAGGCATCCTCGCCCTCTGCATTGCTAAATGTCGGAGGTTGGAGTATACCAAACCTCTCAAGTCGACAATGCTCATCATCCGACATAACTGGTACCACAAACTCCTGAGCTAGTGCAACCGGCTGGGCTGGAGGTGCCCCCGGTGTCTGGAGTCCCTGCACAACCTGCTCAGGTGTGCGAGCAACGGGAGTCTGGGTGCCTCCCCCAGCCTGGAAAGTAGTTGTGGCTGTAGTAGCTGAGACCGCCTGAGCCAAACCTGTACACACTGATAAGATCTGAGCTAAAGCCTCTTGGAGACCTGGGATCACAATAGGCACAACTGGTGCCTGAACTGGTGCTACTATAGCGTCCACGATTGGGACCTGATTCGGAACTAGGGCAGCTGGTGGATTTGTCGGTGCTGCTCTAGCTGCTCTGCCCCTTCCACGACCTCGACCGCGAACTCGGCCTCTGGTGGCCCCAGCTGGTGGTACTGGCGGTCGTCCGCCCTGCCCGGTAGCACGTGTCCTCACCATCTATGAGAGAATGGAATAACAGAAGTTTAGTACTCATTTAAACAGATCCGCACGACAAGAATGTCAAGAATATGAAGTTTTTCCTAAAGGTTCTGCAGCCTCTCGAGGGTAAATACAAACGTTTTTGTACCGATCCGTGAGACTCTACTAAACCGGCTCATGACTCGTGAGACTTATGTAACCTAGGCTCTGATACCAACTTGTCACGACCCCAAATGTCGGTCGTGATAGTGCCTATCATATTACTAGGCAAGCCAACCAGTCAACTGACCACAACCTATTTTCCTTTAGTAAGAACCCATTTTCAACACAAGTTTTAAATACCAATTTCATAATAACCGTTAGAGTAACAGAAGATATGCGGAAGTCAAAATAATAGAAAACTACACAACTCAAACGGATCTGGTGTCATGAGTCTAGAGCCTCTAATACAAGTCTGAATACCTACTAGATTAATAGTCTAGAAAATGCGGAAAATAACATGATAGAAGGGAGAAAACAGGGCTGCGAACGCCATGCAGCTACCTCGAACTACCCGATAGAAACTGAATCAGCTGAAGATGTTCACTCAGCCGCTCGGGCACCTGGATCTACATACAAGGTGCAGGGAGTAACGTGAGTACGCCAACTCAGTAAGAAACTAAAGTAAATAATAGACTGAAGGCAGTGACGAGCAGTTCAAAACATATAACTTTAAAATCAGGTCTGTCATAAAAATCATCATTTCCAGTTTAAACATTGAAATCAGTTACTTAACAATATGTCCAAAAGAAGCTTATTTAAAAGAAGAGTGAAAACAGTGGAAACATCATAACAGGGTCCCTTGGCAAGGAATCACTTAGAATATGGCCCCTCAGGTAGCCTATCAGTCACTCGTGACTCAAATCTCGTCACGCAGTACTCACTCTCAGCACTCGGATTATCTATATCTCATATTAACAGAAATCATAGTAACCGCTGCGGTGTGCAGCCTGATCCATGTATTTATAGTCGACTACGCTCACGGGGGTGTGCAGACTCCAGAGGGGCTCCTACAGCCCAAGCGTCATANATAAAACCAGTTTTAAATATTTAAGTAGGTAAAACATGTCTGAGGATTTGCTTCTAGCAAGTAAAGTGAGGAAATTTGTTAAAACTCCCTCTAAGGGTTTCTACAGGTTGGCACACATGGCATACAGCCCATAATACAATATAAATATCCAAAATACGGGATAACATAATATTTCCAAATCAATTACGCGGCTTAATAGTCGCTACGGGACGGACCAAGTCACAATCCCTACTGGTGCACGCCATACGCTCGTCACCTAGCATGTGTGTCACCGCATTTATCAAAAACAAGTCAAATACCAGGGTTTTGTACCCTCAGTTCCAGATTTACAGTGGTTACTTATCTCAAACCGATGAAAATGATTCGTTCAACCCTCCGAAACTCACCACAAGGCCCCCAAGACCTCAACCAAAGGCACCAGCACTTCCTAAAACCTTAATCAAACTTGTTCCAATTATCAAAATACCTCAAACAACATCAAATCACCCAAAACACATCGGATTCAAGCCTAAGTTTCTAGAATCTTCCAAATTTTGCTTTTGATAAAAACCCCAATCAAACCACGCCCGAATGACCTGAAATTTTGCACACACATCCCAAATGACCCAACGAAGCTACTGAAACTCTCAGAATTCCATTCCGACCCATATATCAAAATCTCGCCTATCAACCGGAAATCGCCAAAATATCAACTTCGCCAATTCAAGCTTAATTCTACTCCGAACTTCCAAATTTCATTTCGATCATACTCCTAAGCCATAAATCACCTCCCGAAGCTAACCGAACCATCGAAAATCACGTCTGAGCCCTCTAACACATAAGTCAACATCCGATTAACTTTTCCAACTTAAACTTTGTTAAGCCTTACCAAAACCATTCCGGATTCGATCCGACCAACCCGATACCACAAAACACGGATAACAAAGCATAAAGAAGCAGAACTAGGGAAAACGGAGCGGTAACTCATGAGACGACTGACCGGATCGTCACATCATGAATTAACTTTTCTAAAGTTTTTAGATTTGGGGTAAGACCAAGAGTTATGGAATAAATTTGTGGAGAAGGATGTAAATTAATTATGAAATTATGGACTAACTTATGAATTCTTATTTGCTTTTTTGGTGAAACTTGTTACTGATTCTATTTATCAAAATGTGTACAAAGATTAGGCTTAACATTTGTTCCTTGATTAACAGGAATCGATTAGCACTTAAAACGCCACTAGTTTAAGCTATTGACCATTTTGAAACAAGAATTACGGGACAATCAATGCGTATTCATAATTTCAAATATTAAGGATGATGTTTAACTTTTACTTTTAAATACAAGATGCAAAAAAGAAAAGATAATAATTTGAAATAGTGCTTTGAAAGAAAATTTCGAGCATAATAAGAGATATAGGAGATTATTAATCTTCACTGTAAGAGACTGCAATGTGGTAGAAAAACCAATGTTCTCACTCGAAGCTAAAAACACACAAATGACACAGATAGCATAACAGAACCGTAAATCAAAGCTTGTCAGAAGTTTAACATATTTTTTCATTTTTAGCAACAAACACAAGCAAATACAGATTTAGGAATGTGTACCTAATGCCTGAGTCAGGAATTGAATCGGCCAAACTCGAGCACAAATGAAGATGACAAGACCCAGCAAGTAGCCATATTTGGAGAGTTTAAACACTCCTAAAGTAGGGAAACAACAGCTCAAAAACCAAATAAATGCCTAGAACTCCTAATTGGTAAAGTTCAGCAATGATGAACAGCAAAAACAATCCCGAACAAGAGGAAGGAAATTTCGAACCCAGGCAAATCAATTCGGAATCGACAACAAATAAACGCAGCTTTGATTGTGAATCATTTGAATCTGAAACAACCAATCACTCTGTTGTTCATCCTTTTTTTTATAGCTTTTCATTCTTTTTTTGGTTTTCTCGATCTTAAATTTTGAAGTGCAAACTTCTTCTTCCAGCAGCCTAGGTGTGTGGGTGTAATTGATGTGTGTGTATTTTGAGAAATGAAAAAAGCACACAGAAGAAGGGAGCTGGGGTCACGCCGTTTTTTGGGTCGGTGAGAGAGGAGTACGATTTTCCTTAGGACTTTTAATGTGTGTCTAGGTTAGAAAATGAGAGAAGGGTTAGGTTTTAATGAAAATAGAGTTTTGGCCGTGGGTATTGGTATGGTATTGGGCCAATTGAAGCTGGCTTAGTCCGATTTTAATTCAAAAACAAACCCCTTTTCCTTTCATATTTTTCTTCTTTTTTCTTTGATTTTAAAATCTAATAATATCCTAAATCAATCTAATTTGTAAAATTAAAATTATTTATCTATTAAAACAACTAATTAACTTAAAACAAAATAAAAGCACTAATTTCTAAAGACTAAAAGTTAAACATATATAAAAATGACTATTTTTGTGATTTTTTCCTTAATAATGCAATTAACTCAATGTAATTAATTCCTAAATTCAAATTGAACCTAAGATGACATGAAATTAAAATATGACAATTTTTTATGATTTTTTCTTATGATTTTAAAAATATTAAATATGCATGAAATGCAACTAAATAAAGAAAATCTCCTAAAATTCATTAAAATTATTCTTGATTTATTTTTAGGAGTTTTTTTCATGTATGACAAAATTTAGGTGCTCACAATGACTAATCCAGACTAGAACATGATAGGTCAAGGTTCGGCCTCGTGTTATATCGAGCCATAGTGCGAAATTAGATTGCTGAGCTCATAACTCAAAGACCAATCAAGGTCGAGATCGGCCAAGATCAAGATCAAGCAAAATAGAGATCGAGCGAGACCGATAGAAGTTTACCAAATCAAGTAATGGTAAGCCGAAATATATATTTGTAATCGAGCAAGGATCATGGCGGAATCCCATCACTATTGAGATAAGGCTGATTAATTAGCCAATAATGAGATTTCTTACTGTATTTAGAGGTGTACCAAGACTAGGCCTCCTCTACTATATAAAGGGGGTCTGATCATTTGTAAAACACATCACATTTATGCAATACAAAGCAATATATTGTCTTCTCTTAAGCTTTCAATATTCTGTTACTTTGTTCATATTTCAATAGAATCTTTACTTAGTTCGAGGGTGATCTAGCTCGAGTGCCAAACCTATACGTTTCATTTGGTTTGCATTTATTTCTCTTTATAATCAATTACAATATCAATTTACATATTTTTCCAATTTGTGCCAAGTAAAATCACGTATCGTTAAAACCACGTATAAATTCAATTGTTATCCGTTTTTAGGGTAAACGTGTGTGTGTGTGTGTGTGTGCATATTTATATATATATATATATATATATATAAAGTACTACTCCATCCATTTCAATTTAGATAACACACTTCGCTTATTGAAAGCCAAATTGTGTAAAGTTTAACAAATAATTTAAAATATATTTTGTTATCATATTGACATGAGAAAAATTAGAACTTATATTACTTTTTGTATAGTTTTTAAATATTCAAAGTTTAATTAAGTTGAACTAATTTAATTTAGCATTAACATTTAGTTAAATTAATTTTCTATAAGCGAAATGTATTATGTAAATTGAGAGAGAGGGAGAATATATTATTTGAATGTATATAATTATAGGGTCAAATCTCTGCATGGTCAGTCTCAAGTGTTAACGCTACTCTATTTAATTAAGTATAAAAAGGAAAGCCCAACAGAATATATTTATAACTTCCTTGTACTAATTATATGGAGTACAGGTTGGATGTAATATGTATGTTACAGAATTAAGTTTCACTTTTCACCCAAAAGACANCATGGCGCTAGGCATTGTGAGGCTTGCTAGGCCGCCATGGGGCGCGGCCAAGAAGTCATGGGGCATGTCTGGAAAGCAGCCCATGACATAACTAATGAGTTGCAACATATGAGTTGCAACATATGGGAATTAAGTTTATCTTTTTATGCTGAAGGTACATAGGGGAGGAAGATTTAATGAGGTTCCTGAATAGAGTAGAGATACACACCATTTTCCCACTCTTTGACGGAGCTAGCTCTCGAGACCGGAAGGATCACCAAATCTGCCTTCAGAAATTGGGTGGTAATTATATATATACACACATCTATAATCTTTTAATTTAATTTATATACACTAACAGATAGAATAAAAGACTCCAATACATATCAAATCACCTAAATGATTTACAAGTAAAAATTGGGATTAGTAACCTATATGTTAAAACGTGATGTGAAGATTTATTCATTATGCTATCAATGAATTGTAATTCAAGGACTAGCATCTTTTGATTTGACTTTTTCTTTGTTTGGGATTTATTGTTAGGTTAGAGCATACTATTTGAGGAAGTACTTGGCACATTCATTAAATGATACAAAAACGGCAGTGCACAGCTTCATAAGATAGCAAGTGGGATAGTGGGTTTTATAATACCTGTGGGTTCGCTCTTAGTGAGGGACTGTTGTCCACACAAATCCTTGCTCTCCATCTTTCACAACTTGTACTTCTCGGATTTCCAAAACACTTGCAAGACTATCTTCGAATCCATCATCTTTGTCTTTGTCGTCCATCCTTTTGACATTGGCGATCGCTGTGTTATCGATGGAGTTGATCAGTTATATATCTTTATTATTATTCAACACTAATAATTAACCTTCTCATATAAAACAATCGACACAAGCAGGGTAAAGAATTTTCATATTAATAGGCAAATAACCTGCCTTATTTTTAAACCATTTGGTTCCTTTTATTTTTTGCATGATTTTTTGAGGAGTTCTAGGTATTATTTTGTTGAGATAGTGTTTGTATCTTGATTTACTTTTCAACAACAATGACAATTTTCATGTAAACATTTTCAAAACTAGATAGTAGAATATTGATTTGGATTGGCGCGAATATGGTACAACCAATTTTAATTTCTTAATTAACATATGTGAATTTTTGGGTTTCAATTTATTTCCTTATTTTTTAATATTATCTATGCAGCTATTAGCGGAAGAGATGAATATATTGACCACAGTTTTCCTCCGTTACGACAATGAAAAAATCTACTACCCCAATGCAGTATTGATTACAAAGCCAATTATCAACTTCTTTCTATAGAAGCCCTGAAATGTGCGACTCCATTTCTTTTGATATTGATACCAACACTTCTATGGACTGTGCGACTCCATTTCTTTTGATATTGATACCAACACTTCTATGGACACCATCATTGCCCTCAAAAAGGCCATTCAAATGTAAGAACTCTTGATGCCCCACCCCACGTTCCTTTATATAATTAATGATTTGTTTTCTGCGGTCGCTTGCTATAACCCACCAACACATTATTAGGTAAGAAGAAATTACCTATTGTTTTCCTGTCTTCCCCGAGATTTAAACATGAGATCTCATGGTTTTTCAGTCATTTTATTGACCACTAGGTTATTGTAAAAATTGTACGGAGCGCCTATTTGGTCGCCCTCATTTAACCTATACCCATTTTTTAAATTTTTTTTAACTTCTACCCACTTTTTAAACAACTTATGCCACATTTCTCCTCCTCCTTCTCCTCCTCAAAGTTATATCCGCCCTCAACCTCTTTCTGTAGTCCGTGACTAAAGGTCCTTACTTGATTGACTGGTGGTAATAGATGCGTTGAAGCAGCAACTAACTGAAACTATAGAAGCAGCAGCTAACTGAGACCAACAAGTTTGAATAAATAAATCAGCTTATCATAAATCTGTATAAGTGCGTTGAAAACTTTTCGTTGTAGAAAAAATGCACAGATTTTTTATCTGTTTATGCTGAGACTAACTGGTTTGAATCACAACGAAAACCCCTTTGTTTGTGCCATCTCTTAACATCATCTGTTTTGATGGATGATTTAGTTTAAGTCTCTGGGAAGTATGAAAACCATAAGCCAGTTACAAAACAAAAAACTTCAGCTCTAGAGCTGAAGTTCGCCAGTTACAAAAACAAAAACTTCAGCTCTAGAGCTGAAGTTCGCCAGTTACAAAAAAAAAATCTTCGTCAGTTACAAAAACAAAAACTTTAGCTATTACAAACAAAAACTTCAACACACTTGCTATTTCAGTTCCGTCTACAGTTTTGCGTGATTGTCTTTGCTACTTCAGCCTCGTCTGCTGAAGTTACGCGAAAAAGTGGGTACGCTTGTAGTTTTTTTGCAAAACGGGCACAAGTTAAAACATAACCCAAAAAGCGGATATAGATGCAAATGTCCCTAGGTTATTGGGTGCAATTTTGTGATATTTTTACCTATATATTATGTTCAATGTTAAAATATTAAACCCAATAAAACTAGCTATATCCGCCTCTAAACTTATCTTATTTCTCACGCTACTAATCCTACTTTTTATATATAATTATCTATTAGTTAACCTGATTAACGTCTTCTAGTTTTCTCGATCCCAAACCACAGTGATTTTAAATCCCCTAAACATTAGGTGGTCATTTGGTTAACAAGATAAGGATATTGATCCAGATATAAAATTAGGGATTATGGTTATTCCATATTTGGTTGTGGATATTTGCAATATTGATGCGTATTAACTATAATATAAATACCCCTACTTATAACAATGCACAATATTGCATTGGGAAAAATCAAGTTATTATATCAAATTAATTATGTGTTGATATGTCATGACACGTGGATCAGTAAATGAATGACAGTTGACGAAGAATAGTTGAAGAGGCACGAGCTTTAACAGGCACGAGCAAAGATCCAAGAAAACCAAAAGGAATGGGTGCTCGAACCTCTTGATAATTTGAAAAAGCATCGGAAGAATGAACCTAAATAGCAAAAGAGTATAGATATGTATTATTGGTAGTTAATGAGCATTAATTACGAAAAACGTTATATAGTCTGTACTGAAACAGTTACGATTGTCAATTATAACGTTACATTGAATGTCATTAATTATCCATAATAACTCCATTATGGAAGGAGAGAAACATATTACTTAGAAATAGCTATAAAAGGTGAGGAATGAGCATTTGTAAGGACACAAAATACTACTGAAATATACTGATTTACTTTGTTTTTTATCCAGCTATTATTTCCATCAATTATTCTTATTTCTATTTGATTATTAGTAACCCAAGTTCTTCTAAAAACAAGCTTTCACCGAAATTCTTATTTTTGGTTAAACA